TCGTAATAAATATCATAGAAAGATATATAAATATATCAATATTCAGTTGATTGTTAGTATAATAATACCCTTATTACTACTTATACTCACTGGTCATATTTTTACTGTTTCGTCACCGTTGAAGTCTGTTGGGGGAAAAAGCAGTATTGTTTTCATCATGTTCTTTTTCTCCCCAAGATTTACTAAACACTCGAAAATTTAGAAGAGTAAAAATTGTTTTTTTACACTGCCACTACTTCATAGCAAGGCTTTTGCAATTTTTTTCCCAATTCCTGTGGAATTCTTTTCTTTTTCAACAAGGTATTATTTTTAAATTTATGCTTCCTTCAGTTCTGTCCAACTGTCTGCTTAACGTTTCTCTTTTTTTTCGTCCTTTTATCTGAACATCAGCACTTATTACGAATCCAATAAAGAACAAGTCTTTAAACAATTGTCAACATCAGCTGTAGGAGCAAAAGGAGTGTCATCAGCAATAACAACAAGAATTATTATCAGTAGTATTGGGATTGATATTGTTATTTCTATTATCATTATAAAATGAACAAAAATTTTAGCACAGCAGTTTTTTCTTGGAATATCAAACTTTTTTCTCTTAGTCCCTAAGTGTATCGGTCGTACTTTGACAGTTCAAATAAAAACTACAAAAACACTGAGCTAGCAGCAATAGATCAACAAACCAAAAAACAGTTTATAGTTCCCTCGTGCACATCTAAGGTGAACATACAAATAAATCAGGACTACTTCCTCATACGTTTACGATATTTACTTACCTGCAAACTTTTTTTTTTCCTCCATTTTCTAATCAGTCACAAATTTATCAGGAAAACAACTATCTCTCCTTTCCAGTATTTATTTGAGAACAGTTGGTGACGGAACAGATCGTAATCATAAATGGCAAAATTTTTTATTACCTTTTTTCTCCCCTATTTTATTGGGTGTTCACTGCTGTTTTTTCCGCCTTTTACAAGCTGTTACTGTTATCATAATTCAAACAAATTTTAGACTGATGATTCTTTATCGTCGAAAATTATTTAAAAAAATAAATAAACAACAGAAGTGTCTGTTCTACAGATGCAGTCAATATGCCGTTATCATATAAAAACGATGAAAAAATTCTTACAAATCAAATGAGATTTTTTTTCGTTTCATTTTTTCACCTAAACAGACTGGAAACTGAATTACCTAATCTTTCCGCCTGAAAATATGAAGTTATTTGTACAGAAAAATAGTCTAAGAACGATACCGATACTTACGTATAACGCACAAAAACTCACATGCACAGTATATTTTCAGATCAAATAGTTATAGCGATTCAAACGGGCCATAAGCTTTTGACAATTTTTTGGCTTATTTGCCTGCTAGCCTGCCAGCATTTTTCTGATGTTCGTCCAATAAATCATACATTCGTTGTTGCTCAATGAGAAATATTTCATGAATTCAAGCTCTTCCCAGTAACGTCAAATATATGTTGCTGTTGTAGGCCTCTCTAGACGGATCAACGGCAACAATCACTGTAGCAATTAAAAATTGAAAAACAGCAACAAAAAAAAGAAAAAAAAAAGAAAAGTAGAAATTAAAGCAAATGAAAACTAAAGTCTGAATAACTCGCGATATTTACGCGCAGTCAAGTCTACAACAGCATTATATATGTATATATGCGCTATAAAAGTTCTGCTGAACTTTCAAATTTCGTTTAAAAATTAGCAAACAAAAGCAAAAAAAAGCCCCCAAGAAACAGAAAGAAAAATTGAAGCAAGCAAATTTGAATAAAAAAAAATCAAAACTTGATTATCTATCTATCATCCATCGCTGTACTGGCGGAAAATGCATGAACCCCGTTCTACTAACATATACACGATAAGAATGTTCAATAAGCGCAAAACTAGACTGCTGAGATAAGCCTCAAGGTTCAAAATAATCGTTGCAGTGAAGCCAAGGCAGGACTCCTAGAAATGCGCAAATATATAAATGGATAAGTAAATTTATATACATGTTTACAAATAAATTTATTTATTTATTTTTTTATAATCAGAACAACGGGACGTCCGGCAAAGTAGACGATGGCCAAGCGGGGATTAGAACTGACTTTAAATCATTTAGACCAGAAAAAAATTGAACGTTGAAGGTCACTGAAAAGCAGGAAGGATGATCCATCTTCTTTCCACAGAACAGTCCATTTGACCTCTTCACACACTGGTGGTACCTTTCTGATAGCTCACTGTCATTTCACTGTATAGCACCAATTATTGCATTATTTTCGACGGCAATAGCACACTTAATACCGTCTATTTAAGTGGAATCAGTTTGGATCAATTAACAGCAAACAACATTATACAATCTGGTATTCCACCAAAGTTCCCTTCTCTTTTTTTTCTTCTTGACTTGATTTTCGAGTAAAATTTTAAAACAATAATTAGCAACAGCTCCAACCACTCTCCAGTGCGCAATAAACATTCATTGGACTATAAAATTATCGCTCTCATGACTGAAGTTAATTCAACTTCCACATTTTTGAAACACGACAAACGAGCTTTAACAATTCTGGTTCTGATAAAAAAATTTTGCTGATTAATTACTGCAGTAGGAAAAAAAAGACAGAATGTCGTTAACGATACAGTACTTTTCATCTCTCCCCAAAAAATGGAAAAAACGAGGGCAATAAAAAAGGAATTAAATAGACTAAAAGGAAGTACTAAGAATAAAATAAAACGCCAAATTAACTTGCAGCAAAAACAACAGACGTATTTACTGACTCTGATCAGCACTTAACCAGCCATTTCCTTTCCGCATTACCATGAAGACGATGGTGATGCCCCGAAGTGGTACTACAGAAACAACAGGACCCCCTCATCATCCTATCAAACATTGTTCAGTAAAAAACCACTGGCAAAATGCGACAGAAAAATACTGCCTTAACAGCTACAGGCTACCATGCAACAGTCTTCAACCCACAACATCTTTCGAAAGCAGTAGTTTTTGCCCGCCATGTGCTCCAAATTTTTGTGCACCAAAAACTAATCTACATCACTTTTAACGCTCACAGCTTCAAAGTCATCAAATTATTTCAAACAATTTTACCCTTTGAAAATGTCACGCAGTGCAAAAATAAATGAAGCAGTACTAACAGAATCAACAGTACTACGTTAATGAGACCAATTTGATGGACTTTATTTTTAGCTTATCACAAAAATAAAACAAAAGCTTTCAAAACTCAAATCCAAGGAAACTCTCAACAAATTAGCTTTCCATCAATGATCATCTCTATCAAGAAAGATCTATACCGTCCTACAGTATAAAAAAATGACTAAACACGTCGTCAATCAGATAAAGATCCTAAGAATACTATTCTGGAAATTGAACTGAATGATTTAAAAGCACTTTTCACCTCAACTCCCTCAAAATAACTTTCATATTAGCTTATGAACAATGCTACTGAGTAAAATCTCAGTTAATGTGAGTATACAGAAAGTGCAAACGAGACGGTCAACTAGCAAGAAATTTTGAAGTACTGCCTCGCGTACAAAAATTTCTTCCTCTTCATTTCTTTAGCAAGCTGCTACTTGGGAATAACAGAAAATTATATCACAAAATAAAGAACATAGAAGAGCAATAAGCCACAAATAACCACTCCGCAACGAAGACTCATCAATCAAAAAAGCCCTAAGTGTTCCAATTCAAAACAAATTTTCAAAGCCTAACTAACTAACTCATTACTATACTAGGCAAAGTGAAACTTGTTATTGAAATGAACAGTTAGAGCCCAACAAAGTTTCCAAAATGAAAAAGGACATAGCTAAAACAGAACCCAAAAAGCACAAACAAAGAAAATTTTAATAAATAATTTCGATACAAATGTAACCAAATAACGACTAAATGCATAACCTTTCTAAAAATCATCAAACTTCCCTCTAAGAAGCTGCGTTCAACTTTAACACATACAGTTCCAGTCACCATTCTCTTAAACTAAAAAATCATAAAAATTCATTAATAATTTGAGTTTGGAAAAAGAAAATGTTGCTTCTTACAACACGAGCTCTAAGTGAGACAAATACAGGGATATAAAAGCTTTAAAAAAAAGAAGCACAACCAATAAACAATTTTAAAAAAGCACAGCAATAAGGCTTCAAGAAAAGGCCATATTATATATATATCCGACAGCAACATCAGTGACAGGCAAACAAACAGAAATATCGTAGCCAGAACAGAAGGATATGTGAGGCAAGCACAATTAAAGAGCTTCAAAGTAACAAACTGGGCTTTTCTCATTGAAAAACCAGCAACGCTATCAAGAAGAGATTTGACAAAGTAGACTCCAAAAATTACTATAGAAAAAAAAGTGAAACCTCAGCGGTTTCATTGTACTGTGCAGTGATATAAAAACTTTGTCAGACGTGGAGTAAAGTAAAAGGAAATCCAACAGAAATATACCAAATTTTTCAAACCAGTGCATGAAACCTCCAAATTATCATCGAGCGCCCTAAAAGAAAACAATTTAATTTAGAGCTAAATGTCTTCAAAATATTTAAAGCAATATTTTAAAATTTACTTTGAAAAACGCAAAAACTAATCACAATAGAAAAAGTCTTGGCTTTTTATTAGAAATGTTGTCTGTCTAAAAATAAGTTAGCATTCAACTTCATAGTTTATCAAAAAACTGTGAATAGCCATAAAAATAAGCATCCTAGAAATTTAGATTTATATCACAGTACACCTTATCATATGTAGTACACATTTTTTTTTTTTGTTTGAAAGTTATACAATTTTTCATACTCACCTTCGCTAATTTTTCCCGTATAGTCTTAATAATAAGTGTGGTTTGAAAAATTAATTGGTTGGCAGAAACCGATACCTAAATGTGATCTGTTATTTGGTATATTTGCTCACTGAACTTGGCAGTTCGATGCTAAGGGGCTTAAGCGATAAACAGCTGACACTGGACTAACGGATAATATTAATTACACTAGATAAACTCACCGGGACTGCATTCTGATCTCGAAAATATTCCTTCAACGTGTTACTGAACAACTTCGAGTAATGCACAAACTCTCGTTTACGTTTTTCAACAGCTAAACATACAAGAACCTGACATTATATAATATTAAAGAAATACGCTTTACGTTACTGACTGGCCACAGGACGTTTTTAATAAAATTCAATTATAAAAATCACAACAAAAAAAAAAAGAATTTACAAGACTGTGCGGGAACTGGTACTACGCGCATTAGTGCATTTGTCGCATCAAGAAGTCGCTTTATAGAAGAAGCAATTTCTTTAATTGTTTCTAAAAATGTCCTTCGATCAGACATTTCCTCCGGAACCCGAGAGAGAACTCGACGAAGAGCAATTGCTCTGAAATTACCAACCAGAATGTATGAATCCACTAAACAATAACAATGAGCTGGTAATTCGAAACGATAAGACCAGTGCCAATGGTTGAAGCAAGCGGACAAAATGCATTAAAATAACTTTTTGAAAAGTCCAAATAACCAAAAAAAGACCTAGCAGATAATTCCTGAAATTCTGGCCCAAGTCCAGGTGGCAATTCCAGATCATCTGTGGGCGCCTTTGCCTGCATACGTAGGAAAGCCTCCTAAAGAGAAGCATGTTATTGAACGAGTTTCAGAATGAAGAAACTTCCAAAAAAAAAA